TTATTGTCTGCTCGGATACATTTTAAAGTGTTAAATAAATAATCGTGCATATTGAGCCTCACACCTTATCAGCTGAGTGGGGAATGATGAGGGAGCAAAGGCAGACTCTTGCTCTTTTGCATTTTCTCACCTCTTTAGCTGGAAAATCCTCTTCTGGGAGAATGTGAAGTAGGGTAATAACACTGCTTGTGTACAAAGTGAAGCATTTCAGAAATAACATGTGGGCATTAACTTAATTTTCAAACAAGCCTTTTTCAAGCTCATATCCAGGGAGAGATGGGGAAGGTGGACAAGTTGATCTCCTGCATAAAAAGCAAGTCACAAGTATCCAGCTCTTAGCTATGCATTTAGTTCAAATCTCTTTCAAAAAGCCATTAGTGATGTTGCTTGTACACACTGAGATTGGGATTCAGTGTCGTGCTGTAGGTACTAGGAGGTATAATGGATTGCTGTTGTTTACAACAAAATAGCTAGCTAGTTTGGGGACATCAGACCTAGATAATAAGCATCTTGGTCTTTCCCATAAATCATTGTTCTGAGGCCGTGGTTCTGTATAACTGTTCTCTTGCTCCCTCTCTTCCATGTAGGTTTCCACATCATTTTCCTACCATACGCAGATGACAAACGGAATGTTGATTTTACAGAAAAGGTGCCAGCCAGCCGAGAGCAGGTGGAAAAAATGAAGGAAATAATTCAAAAACTTCGGTTCAAATACAGGTACAGGGAGATAAATTGTGTGCGGAGTGTGACATAGGGAAGAAAGTGCAACCCTGTTGCTTGCTCTGTTGCACACATTGTTGGGTTGTGGTGTCCACGAGGTGAGATTTTGATGTATTTTGATGCAAATTGCTTCCCTTTGCAGTAGCTTTGTCTAAACTTTATTCTTAATCATTCTGAATACCCAGGCACCACACGCTTTATGTAGCATGTTCTGGAGTTCTTCATAGAATTGCTCTTGTTCTCTGGGCTGTTGTCATTTGTTGCAGAGGTATCACATTTTATTGTGGTTCTGCCGATCTATTGCAGATCAGACCTGGACTGTTTAAATTAGAGCACTTTAGGGAGAATGGTTAGGTCTTTTTCATTATAGCTAGGATAAATTTTATGAAGTGCTTTTACAGGACACGTTTTCCTAGGTATGTGGAAAGTAACATAACTGTTATTAAAGTAGAATTAACTGTTATTAAAGTAGAATGCCACTGTCTCCCATTTGTCTCGCACAGCTTTCTAATGTGGTTGATGCATGACAGGATAGTGATTCAGCAGGTGAATTGGAAAGAGGAAAAGCAGTTCCTCTGATGAGATGGATTGTTGTGTGGGAAGGAGGGAAGTTTTACTTTGAAATAAGTTGGTGGTAGATCTTATGTGTCTTGTCTGTCTTCTGGGCAGCATGCATTGACATTTTGGGGGATTCTTGACAGGGCTGACAGCTTTGAGAACCCAGTTTTGCAGCAGCACTTCAGGAATCTGGAGGCTTTGGCACTGGATATGATGGAACCAGAACAAGCTGAGGATCTTACAAGTGAGAATTATTGGTGGGTGTGAAGGGGGGTGGGGTAGAGGGCTCTTGACTTTGTTCTAAGTCAGAGATACGCTACTACAAATCCAAATGTCTTTTAAAAAATATTGCAGTTGTGTGCACTTCCAAGATGTAGAATTCTGGATGTGTCCATTCTGAAATATTGACACCTTACTTTCTAATGCTGTCACTTTTAAGATAAAGGAAAAATCGTTCACTTTACCCTCCAAAATTAAAATTGAATCACCTTTTTCTATGGTGACAAATGCTTCTCTGAAATTTCTCTCTTCAGGAATCTAATTAATATTTCAGTCTGATAAATAGACAGTTACTCAGAGAATGATTCTGCTAGGAGGCAATGATGCTGCCTTGTGGCTGTGAGAGTTTCTATAGAAGAATATCTTGTCAAAGGATAGAAACCTACTCCTGGAGGGGAAGTTCCTTTTTTAAAACTGTGTTGTAATCCAGGAATAGTGTTAGAGTAACTATTTGTCTCTTCTGAAGTGATACCTAACAAATAATCTAGGCCCCTGTGCTAGATACCATACAAATACATGACAGAAACAAACTGTTCTGCCTCAAACTACTCGCAACCTTAGATAGTAACCTGTTGTATTTTCAATGTCTGAGATTAGACCTAGGTAACAGTGCAAGCAGGCAGGTGATCTTCTACATCACTTCCACCTTGTCCGTTTTGTTCTGCATATATATTTCCTGTTCAGGGATATGTGCAAGTTCATTATATCTGTATAACACAAACTCTCAAGATTATCAAGAGCTGTAAATTTCTCATTTGGGAATACCATAACATATGTCTTTGCATTTTGCATGCTTGCAAGATGCTTGCATGCTGATTATTACGGAAGCACAATTGTATCTGGTGATGGCCTTGTTTAGACTTCCCTGTGATCACTCTCTTGTTGAGAGGGCAAATCTTTCTCTTTTGCCAGTGCCAAAGGCTGAAGAGATGAACCGCAGGCTGGGGAACCTGGTGGAGGAGTTTAAGCAGCTGGTTTATCCCCCTGACTACAATCCGGATGGGAAAGCTGTAAAGCGAAAACAAGGTAAGTAATGATGGTGCAGACGCACAACATGGTGTCTGTATTCTCTTTAGAAGTTTCTGTGTTTTCAGTTTGTCTCATAGTTTAAAGAAGCTGCTTGTGCAAGAACTCTCTTTACTCATCTCCACAACAAAGTGGATTTATATCCAGTGGTGATTCTTAGGAAGTAGAGGATATTGTGGTATCCAGTTGGAGAGCTGCTGGAATGAGAAACTGCATAGTGAAGTATAGGAAGCAATGTGGCTAAATGATTGTAAAATATAGTTTACCTTTTTTTTTTAAATAATTTTGGTTTTTATGACAGAGTAGTAAAATCGTTCATGCTTTCAGTTGGTGTTGGTGAGGAAGCAGACTTTTATGCATGGGCTGTTCGGCAAGTCCAAGATGGGCATCTTTAGGGCTAAATGTCTAAGTAATGCTGAAGTACTTGTGTAGTTTGGGAGTCTATGAAACTGCATAAAGTGGGAGGGTCAGTTAGTTGAGCTCCCTGTGGAATCATTGCATTCTGCTGTCTCGATGAGAATCCCTTAAAAGTTTCATTTGGGGGTGGTCTTTCCGTCAGAACACAAAGTTTCATACTTGAGCTTGAGATCACTCCTATCAATGAAATACTACATGACTTACGTGGTGAGTGATACCTGCTTCTTAAAACAAAATGTGTAAACTAGGTCCGTGTGTAGGTAGCTGTTTAAGTACCATGTGCTAATGGCCACCAACTGTCGTATGTCTAAGAAACGTTGATGCCTTTCTATTAAGAAATTGTTTAAAATCTTGGTGATCTAAAATTTATCTTTCTAGCTTCTGATAGTCAAACTGAGAAGAGGCCCAAGGTAGAACTCTCAAAAGATGAGCTGCGGAGTCATGTGCAGAAGGGCACTCTAGGCAAGCTCACTGTACCTGTTCTGAAGGACGTGTGCCGGCTTTATGGGCTGAAGGGTGGAGGAAAGAAGCAGGAGCTCATGGATGCGTTAACTGAATACTTCAGTGAGCACTAAGCAGGAGTGAAAGGCCCTGGCTGACTTCCATCTGCTTAAAATTTTAGTTGTCTTATGCAGATGCTGTGTCTGTTTAATCTTGCTGTGGAGGAGAAGGCGGCTAAATGTTGCTGCATCTAGCAGTGGAGAAACTTTTTACTCTTAGTTGTGAAACATCTCTGCAAAGTTGGATTCTGTTCACAGTAGCCAAAGGCAGAATGAAATTCCCTGCTAACGCAGGTCACCCACTGCAAGTGAACACAGTTGTGCCTTCCTGGTTTCTTAATAAAAGTTATTTTGGACTTCTTATTTTGCAACACTGGCTGTACCATCTTTGCATCATAAAGACAGCAAAACTCACTTCAATGTAAGAAAACAGAATGATCTGTGTTAATGGCACCATGTGAATCCAAGCAGCAGGTCAAGTCTTTGTGCTAACAGAGGGTATAAATGTGGTGTATTACTCTCCTGCTCTCCAAAACAGCCAGTCAGTATCAGTACTTGTGATCCAATTGGGTTCTTTGCCACCATTAGCGTTATAGACATTACTAGCAGATCATAAAGGAGAAAATCATGACTGGGAAGCAGTAGCCAAACCTTTGGGCAAAAAGCCAGCACTTCACAAAGCTGCACAGCCAGGTTTTTCATTTTTAAATGGTAATAGCAAAAGCTGGTTTAAAAAAGGAAAAAAAAAAAAAAAAAAGAAGTCATGTTCCCTGGAAGGCTGCAAGCACTTACTCCAGTTAAATTACTGCAATGGCATAGAGCTTTTCCACCTCTGTAGCAAGTATGAGTCAGACTATTGTGCAGGCTTCTGTACTCAAATCTGTGCTTTAGAAACAGAAAAATAGCAAGTTGTGGAGTGTAGCCCTTGTTACGTCCAGTATTTTTTTTTTTTTTTTCATCACACTTACAGAGACTGCATCTCGGGCTGTGTTTTGGTTCTTAAACTTCCACCCCTGGCATGCCCCACCTGTCTTGCAGTGCAAGATGACTAAAACTAATAGTCATTGCCCTTGCTCTAGGAAACTACTAACTGTTTAGCTAAACTGTAACTTTCTACAGGGGGCAAACATAGGATACATAAGGTGTCCATTTTGGTCTTGTGTGGTGGTTTTAGCGTTCAGGGATTCCTGTGTTTGGCACGCAAACTATTAGGCAACTTATTGAAGAATTAAGTCATACATTAAGGTTGTAGCAGTGCTGTCATGCGGCACATACATCGGAGCCAGCTGTGACCACCCTAGCTGTGGCAGCAGGCTGCTTGCTTCCACCTCCACAGCTCCTCTCGAAAGAGCAGCTATAGCCCATGTCGAGCTCTGCAGTATTGAAGCTACATAGTCTAGGATACTTTCAATCAGCCTGCATTATAGTGACTTTTAATGAATATTTGTCTATGCAATCAATTTATTTTGCCCTTCAGCAAAGAAGTTACTAGACACTTCTCTTAGCAAGATTCAAACTGAACGCAATAAAATAGTGATACAATCCTGTCCTTCATTCTGTGAATTTTCCATTCCCCAAATGCCCTTGTTAACTTCTCTCTTGGCTTGCTAACCCCCAGGCACAATATGTTCCAGGCTTTGGATGATCATGGCATGTTTGTTCTAGGTTATCAGATCTTCCTTTTGGCTTTTTTTTTAATAGCAGGCTATTGCATTAAGTGGAAGTTTAAAAGGGACGGTGATGGAAGGCTTCAGAGCAGAAAATTAGACGGTTTTGCTTGCTCAAGAATCCTTTATTTCTGCTCCTTATGTGCTTTGTCTTACATCAGCTGTCTTGGCATGGTACAATAGCACAAATCCTTTGCAAACTGTGGTTTTAAACACAAGTACCTCAACAGGCAGCATCAGCAGAAGGGAAGAGCAGCCTTTCTAAACCTCATAGAAGTGAAAGGACTACAAAATCTTTGTATTAAGCTCACCTCAGCAAGGATATTACTGTTTATCAGCCACTTACAAAAATAGACAGGCACGATTTGTCTTCAGTCTTTCATGAGCTGATTTCATCTGCTTGGGGATGTACTTACTAAAGGTATGAAGTTAGTGCCTCTGTGGAAACATTACAGGAGAACTTATTTTCCCTTCTGCTATTGTACCTGTTGGGTCTTTGCACACTAGCTTTGCTTTGGCATCCTGCAGTAGAAGACAGGTTTGATACGACCCATTCCAACACAAAGGTTTAGATTCTGCTCAGAGCAGTAACTGGATTTATTATACAATATGCATTTAACTAAAGCTAGCTCCATAAACCCACCACTAATTCAGAATGCTGGTGGTGCTTCACGCTTTTCCAGAGCACGTGATTATCTAGCATTCTTGAGACACAGGTTGATCTACCTGAAAAAGTACTTGGTCTCTTGTCTTGGCCATGACTTATAGCACTCATCTTCAGTCAGGTGATAACAGTACAGTAGCTTCCCTAAAAGCATGAGATACTTTTTATAGTTATCAGCCAGATGTAGGGTACTTGTAAGCCACAGCAGGCTGCTCTCTACCATGTGTTTTGCGCTTAAATTCCCTAGGTAGCCCAAGCTCATTGGTACAGTCCACACAAAGAAAACTTGAAGAGTATGAACTACTGCACTGCAATAGCCTTTAGGCAATCTCTGAGCAGTCTAGCTTTACAAGCAGGAACACTTCTGTTAGTTGCAAATGCTTTCCCCGAGGGAATGACAATTATGTTTAGCTTTGTCAGCAATTTTATTTTTCTTAAAAAGTCAGTATTTAAAAATAAGCGAGATAAAGAGATTTGCCCTTGTGCACTGCCATAAGATTTCTGCTCCCTGTACACCTCTTATGGAAGTCCCTTGTCTGGTTTCAAGAAAAAAGGTTGTGCTACCAGTACTGATCTTGGTTCTGTCTGCTGCTACACAGTAGCCGCTGCCTGCCCTATATGTGGTCTATGCTGCTCCATCACTTAAAGCAACAACTCCAGCAGTCTGCATGCACACGCTGTGCGGGGAACCAACATGCTTTATCCTCAATAGACTAAACCATTCAGGAACACACAGAGTTACTTATGCCTGTTAGAGGCTGAAGTGTCACCAAAATACTCCAACACAGAGGAAGCCCCTGGGTGGGTTAAAAAAAAAAGCCCCGAGCAGGCAAACATGGAGATAAGGGGGGGGATTTTTTTTTTCTCTCTTTTAAACATCAAACAGGAAATACAGTTGTACAATCACTTTTCAAGAAGTAATACAATGAGAATGAATGTGTTGGAGTGGAATAATAGAAAAGAGGGGGGAGGAGAGGCAGAAACACTAAGAATTAAGCTGTTATTAAACAAAAACGTGGTGCTTTGAAATGGAACACTGACATCAAAACTATAATCTCAACTGAAGCTGGACAATTCCCCCTGCCTTCAGCTTTCCTATTCCACATAGACTTAAACTCACAGGCATTTAGACCAACAGTCTTTCTATAGCTTGCTGGACAGACTGGATCTGAGGCTTTAGCTGTGACCCCTCCTTGATGGTGATGGAGCAGGCGATGACAGGCCGGGAAACACCGCAGGCCCGGCCCAGGGCTTGCTTGGAGCGCACAAACACGTAAGGTACGTTCTTGTCTTCACAGAGAAGAGGGAGGTGCAGGATGATTTCCAAGGGCTCTGCGTCTGCCGCCATCACAATGAACTCCGCTATCCCTCGGTTCAGTGTTTTGGTGGCTGTAAGAGAAACTGAAGAGTAAGTCTAGGTCCTTCTGGACAGCCCATCTAATGAAAAACACCTTTAGGAGATGCTGAAATTGGCATGAGCAAGAAGGAGATCTAGTGGTAGCGTGAGGGGAGGCCAAAGGAAAATGGCAGCTATAGGGGCAGGGAGGGTATTATTCAGAGGGCTGCACTTGGGGTACTGTGCCCAGCGCTGCCCTCGAGCACAGCGGAGAGGTTCCCCGGGGAGTGAGGCCAGCCCAGGGGTGCTGCTGGGCAGGGGCTGGGGTGCACCATGGATGAGAGGAGGCTGGGGCAGCTGGGTTGGTTTAGCCTGGAGAAGAGAGGGCCGAGGTGGGAGGGGAGCTGTGTGGCTGCTGCCTTCTACTACTTCAAGGGGATGGCAGAGAAGATGGAGCCAGACCATCCTCGTGAGTGCATGGGAAGGAGGACAGGTTGCAGACTGTGACTGTTGCCTCAGTGAGATTCTGGGGATGTGCTGGTATTTTATATCCCCCCCCCGCCCTGCCCCATTATGAGATGGGTTTAAGCCATGGGAACTGGACCCTGGGAGACTATGGAGTTTCTATCCTTAGGGATTGTTTTGTTTTTTTAAAAGCTTGACTAGGCAAAGCCCTGAGCAACCTGATCCAACTGCAGAGGGAGCCGCTCTCTGAGCGGCCTGCACTAGAGATACCCTCAGACGCAAATCTTTTAATGATTCTGAACTGGCTAGGCATCTGGTAATCCCAGTGCCACACCACTAAAGCACATGTGATCACAGGACATGCACCAGGAGCACAGCTTGGGCATCCACCAGAACTGCATATATGTGTTGAAAAGATTACAGCTTAGTTCTGTCCCTGAATATTGCTTAAGAAGGCTAGAAGGAGGAGGAAGGAGACACTTGCAATAGCTAGATCTATAAAAAGTTAGCGGCCCACAGCTAGAGAGAAAAGACACTCTCTAGCCACAGCTTCTCACAAAATCCTCGCTATGATTTCTAGGACACTTTGCAACACACAGGTCTCACCTTCGTTGGCTCCCTTGCGTAGCTGCTTATAATTGCAGGACTGCTGCACGAGATCGAGTAGCGTTTTGGTGAGCTGCGCATCAGCCAGGGGGTAAGCTTTGGGATTCACTTCTGCCTCGCTCTAGAGAGAGGAAAAAGTAAAGAGCATTACAACAGGAGCAAAGCGGGCTTTGTTCTGAGCAGCATCGCACCACCATCACCACACATACTGACAACTGCAGTCACATCGCTATTCTCGTCTGCTCTGCACATCTCCTAGAAATCCCACTGCATTTTATTTCTGAAGAGGGATTCTCTCGCGTTCTTCAAAGTCAAGAGTACCTCTGCTCGCGCAGATGGCCAATTAACGCCCTACAAACTAGCAGCAGCGAGCGGGCCAGGCGCTCGGTGCAGGGACTCTCGGCCAAAGGAAGCGTTTCCGCGCTCAGGCACGAACGGTACGGCAATCCCCGCCAGCTCCTCTTCTGCGAATCACGAGCGGCTTCTCGGCTGTTAACGGCAATGGCATAGCGGAACACCGACGAGGTGACGGCCGGCGTTAACGACCGGCGCCGGCCGAACGGCAGCGCTGCCACCACGTGCTCCCGCTCCCCGCTGGGGGGCCGGGCCGCCCAGTCCCCCCGCCGTTAGGTGCCCCCAGGACCGCCGGACACCCCCCCAACCCCGGGCAACCCCCCCCCCCAAGCTCCGCGAGCTCGGCCGCGGCGCCCGGCCTCCACGTGCTCCCCCGCAGCCTGGGCCGGGGAGGGCAGGGCAGCGTCCCTCCGCCCCAGGGCCCCCCCGGCGCGCCCCGAGGAGAAGGAAGCGGCGGGGGGCCGGCCCCCCCTCCCCAGG